GTCCTGATTATGTTGATTTAATTCCAGGTGTTCCCCGTTTATTTCTATTGATCCCAGGTGTGTCTAGTCATCCCCTCGTCTTGTCATGTGTTTAAATAGTGTTCCCTGTTTTTAATTCAGCGTCCTATTATTAAACTTCTCTGGATTGCTGTACTCCTCGTCTCCCTCCGTTCCTTGCGCTGCACTCCACTCAGTAGTGCAACCGTGACGGAATACCGGACCAGACAAAATAGTAAGCGGCGCTCCTTCTCCCCGTTTTATTTCTATTTTGAAAGTTTTTTTTTTTGTTTGTTTTCCCCGCGGCATGGAAACCGCCGCACGTTTCGCAGCTCCGAAGACGAGCCCGCCGGCCGCTCCGAAGATACTACTGACACAAGACCATAAAATCAACAACTGTAAAACAAAGCAACTGCGTAATTTATTCAGCCGCAATGCACTCTGGGAGTCAGTGAGTAGCTATACTAAAGTCATGAGTAAACCTAAATGAAAGGATCAAGTACCCCCTACAGTGTTTTTTTTTTTTAAGCCCAACTAATTAGGTTTTACAGTGTAGTTTCTGAATGCAACGTGTTCTATTGCCATACAGATTTCAGGGTTGGGAAAGTTAGTAAGCAGCTAGCAAATCGCATTGCACTAACTACTAAGACCACTTTACTAACTGCATAGCAACACCCTGGCAACCATTTATCACAGCCTAGCATCTGGCACAACTCTCAATTCTTTCTTCAAAAAAGGGGGAGATCTAGCCTTTAAATCGCATATAACTCGTATTATAAATACTCCAAGGTCTTTGAGTGCTGAAACAAGACTGTGCGAAAATTATTTACAAAGAGAAAGCTTTCTATGCACTAAAGACCTAGGCAGTGATTTATAGGGAGCAGGAAGTGTCTGGCTGCTCCAAAAATAAAGGAGATAAAATATGAGTCGCAGAGTAGGCTGTTAATTGCCTTGCTATAAATACACAACGCCTCCTTTTGAGACTATAAGGAACAAAGTCCTCCTCCGTTGTCTTTGTGTGTGCGCTGCTGTGGATGTTGCAGAGCTGTCAGATTCCCGCGCCATATGGACTATTCAATTTCAACTCAAGTTTATTTGTATAGCGCTTTTTACAATACAAATCGTTGCAAAGCAACTTTACAGAAAATTCAGTTTCTATACTATTTAGTAGTAGCTTATCAGTGGTGACTGTCCGTTTATGTACATATGGCAGAAATGTAGGGGAAAATAAATTAAAGCCGTAATCAAACAGACGATGAACACTATTGCAATCAAACTCCGCAACATTTGGTAGTTCTGTACGTTGTTTCAGGGTCGGCGTCATTGGACTGTGACGTCATCCACGCGAAAGGAACGCCCCGCGAGTCAAAACACACACGAGTTTATCTCGGACTGCCTGTCTGTAACTCCTACACATTTGTGATAGTCTGTTTCATTTCACCGTTTACGAGTACTTTCTTGTAATGACCGCTGTGGTGGTCCAGTTTGGGAGAAAAGTAACAGCTCTCTATATAAACTGCGCAACAAGTGTTTACTAACGTTATGAGTGTAAACAACTGCGTAATCCCAAAGAGTGGACATGAACGCAAAGCTGACGTATTTAAATATCTTTAAATGTGCGTTCACGCACATGTTTATTTTTCCACACGCGTCTGACTGACGTCGCGTCGTGAGCGTTGCGTTTTTAGGGCGGTGGGTCAAGTTCAGTTTAAATGCTTCTAAATACAATCACTATTTAAAAATTATTTACCAGAACACTTATATAAAGTTAAGAACAATAACTCAACACATGATAAATAGTGTTAAATAAACAATAACCCAATTAAATATTTTTTTTCCCACGCACGGATATAAACCGCATGCATTTTAAATTAAGTTTAATAAAGTTTCATTGCTAGTTGAATACCAAAAATATGCTGCAGAAGGCTGCAAACCATTATATATATATATTGTGGAAAGGAATAATAAAAGTAAAGATGATTATTTTTCAGTTATTTCATTTAATAAAACAATGCTTTAAAATCTACAACATGTTAATCACTTACTGAGCCAACCTCATTAATATATGTGCCAAATATGGTACTGTGACATGTTTTATGACATGCACAGCCATCATCTTTCAGAGAATTAAACTGCTCTGGTCACGTGACCCCAGCCATGTAAAATGTTCTCATGAAAGTTACGATAATTCACAACTTTGCGTAAAACGCGTCAAACAACTCTTTTCAGACCTTTCAAACGTATAAGTAAACATCGGAAAACTGAAATGTGCGCTTAAAAGCAACTTCAGGTCACATCTTCGCAGGAGCTGATGGACTTACTTGAAAGTGAGGATGCAGAGAGGACGGTAGGATTTGTGGCTGGTGTTATCAGCCATCCGCTTGCCCCAAAAGTCATTGGTGCAGATGCTCCGGAGGCTGGAGCCCGGTCTGACATCTGGATTGTTGGTGATGGCCCATATATCATCATGCACAAACTCCCCCCAGAGAGAGTTACTGTAGCAGAGCGCGCACACCGCCACCAGCGCGGCGTACCGGACTCCCGCCGCCGGCCTCGGTAGCGCCGACAGCCGCTGCTGCACCGGGGGAGGAGCGGCTTTGGTCCCTCGGCTGTTTGCTGTCATGTCTGCCCCCGTCTCGCATGCTGCTCGTGGGAGTCAAAAAGAGGAGAGTCGTCCCGTTCCATAGCCCGTGTGCTGCACCGAAGCCCGGACAGCGGATCAGCTCTGAATGCGCAATATTCGCGAGTGTGAATGTGTATAAAGTGTTGAAGTCTATGTAACCCGCCTACCGGCGCATGCGCAAAAGAAAGAGAGAGAGAACGAGGATGAGAAACAGAGACTAATATAAATGAGAGAGAGCGAGAGAAAGAGAGAGAGATGCAAATGAGAAAGAATGAGCGCGTAAGGAAAATAAAATAAAAAAACAGATAGAGACAAAATGGAAACAAGAGAGATAGAGAATAAAATATGGAAAAAATATTATATTTATTATAATTTCCCCATTTAATATTTTTTTAGCCAACATCTTTTACATTTACCTAATTTTTGCATTATTTACTTTTAAACATTCATTAACTTTTCATATTTTTTGTGTGGTTATCATATGAAAGCTTGTTTCCACTACAGGATAAAAAAAATTAAAAGGTAATTGACTTTTTAATCTGATAATGCTGACTTTTTCCCCTCACAATACAAAGTTTATATCTCAAAATTTGTCAAATTGTCTTTTTTTTTCTTTCAATTCTGAGGAAAAAGTCAGAATTACCTTCTTTATTTTGTTCTTATCCTGTAGCGGAAACAAGCTTTTGTATGGTATCCACACAAAAAATATGAAATGTTGTAGGCCTACTTACTTTTTTTTTTTTATATATTTATTGTGCATTCCGTGGCAGGGGGGAAAAACAATTGCAAGATGTAAATTCAGAAGTGTGAAGAAAAAGTTACAATTCTGAGTTCATATCTTACAAATCTGACTTTTTTCACTGTGAGATTAAGTCACAATTACTTTTATTTTTCTTTATTCCGTGACAAAAACAAGTTTCCATAAATTAGAGCGGAGAATAAAACCTGCAAAAGATGTTTTATAGCCATGTAATTTACTAGTATAACAAGTGTACTTTAAGCAAAGGAATATTAGTTGGTACTAAATGTTCAGGTAATGTGCTTTGATATTAATGGGTGTAATATGAAGAATCGGTTGCTTTTTGCTGTCATTCTTTTGTCAAAATGGTGCACAAGTATTCTTGTATGACACTAGTTAGGTCAAAATATTATGCCACTGATTCAATTTTATGATTTTTATAGTTTGTATAAATTGTGGTTATTAAAAAAAACGATTGAACAAAATGGCAAACAGAACCTGAAAGCGTCTTACATTGTTTCCATAATATTCCATAATATCTGTTATGGTTATAGCAGTATATTTTGGCAGAAACTATGGCTACCAAGGTGAAATTTTGGAGGAGAGAATGAGAACACAAGAAAAAAAAGAGAAAGATAAATGCAAATTAGAGAGAGAGAGAGAGAGAGCGAGCTCAGGCAGGAAATCAATAAAGAGCTGTGGGATATTTCACACAATGATTGCACTGCCTTGACCGTGACCTGTGCTTCCACGCAGAACAAGTCATAAGCAAAGTGCTCTGGGTTTGGACTTGCTAATGGAACATGAAGACAGGGATAATGAATCATGATGATAAACGCACTTTTAAAGATTCAATGATGGGTGAACATCTGGCTAAACATGATTTTATGCAAGAAATGTTAAAATTACCCTTCTGGGGGGGCCGTTTAAATACATCTGGTGGCTCCTTACAGTCAAATTGCTCTTGCAACCAGATTGAACAGTGAAACTGACTGCTGATGGTGCTTTTTTGCATTGTGAAATAATTTCCATGACAATTAAGCACATTTAAACACCTTCCACCAACTGTCAGTAGCAGAAGCAACAAAGAAAAAATAATAAATTATATTATTTAAATTGTGCATGAATTTAAAAATGCATAATTTGTAACCATAAATCATGGTAATATCTGAAGTACTGAATATAAAATATATGTACATTTATGGAATAAATTTATTGGAACAAAAATGTAAAAAAGAAAAAAATATATATATATAATAAAAAAATACATTAAAAAAATCAATACATTTTAAAAATTTTAATTCTATAAAATATAATTTCTAGCAAATAACAATATGATATTATTTATATATAACTAAAAATGAGAAAAATAAAGAAATTTCACATCGCAATAAAGAATTTTGTGCAAAATGTGCTTAATTGTTGGAAAATTATATTTAAAAAATCATAATGGTACTAAAATATATTTCATTTTCTTAAAATGTACGATATAATTTCTTCAAGTTCTCTTTTGATTTTGGGATGAAATACGATCCGGCTAAATATGCTAAATAATAAGATCTGGAAAATACACACAAATCAATGATAACATGACTGCATAACCATTAAAAAAAAAAAAAAAAAACTGCAAATGAATCGTGTTATATTAACTTTTATGACTTAAGTTAATTCTGAAAACGGACTGTTACAAAAACAAACTCTGAAACATACAAACATATGACAGCTATAAACATCGTCCTTCTGACATTTAGCCAGTGCACATGATCTGTTTGGGCAGAAAAATGCCTACGTATCTCTGAAGGCACTGACCAACACCACAAATCCCTCCATCTGTGTGTCAGTCTGAAGCGGTGTCCGTCTGTCTCGCTCTGGCTTGTCTTGACATGTCTCACCTCACTGCCTCGGTCGAGTTTCTTACTGACTCATTGCAAATGGAGGAGAAACTGAGAGAAACAGAATATATAACATTCAATTACTTATACACACACCCGTCTGCACACATGCGCAAACACCCATAATTCTGTACAGATGCGCAGACACACACACACACAGCTTCAGGGAAGGGGTGACCCAGAGTAACCTCTTCGACTTCACTGGGGCCTTTCTGACCAGTTTTGACGATGTCTCAGTGTTCCTATTAAAAGTCATGGATCTGAAGAGCTTGCTTTGGGTCCTGGGTTAAAGATCCCATCCATCCTGACCGAGATGTCTCTAGTCTCCAGAGTTTAAGCTGTTTTTGGTGTCAGAACTCTGTACAGATCCAAATCCAAAGTGTCAGGTATCTCCAACCTGCAACTGGAACATCTCTACAGAGAGACGATGAAACAATCTTGCATTATTTCAAGTGTTTGAAGTAACAACAGCAGTCATCAGACAGATAAATAATGTAATGTGAATGTTAAATGTGCTAGAGTGATGACAAATGCTTTTAAATACTTCATCTGTGTCGCTGAGTACTATGCTAATGTTGCCGTTTTTGATTTCAAATGCTGTCAATCATACACATCACGTTTCAATTAATGTCCCACCCATTCGAAAGCTCAAAATCATAAACCATATATAGAGGCAGAACTTTTAGGCGAGACTGAAATAGATATGCAATACTAATTTAATAGTGCTGTCACTGTGTGATATTTTACTGTTATACTGTATTTTTGATCAAATAAATGCAGCCTTGGGGAGCATAAGAGACTTCCTACAGAAACATAATTAAATCTTAAATTTTAAACAGTAGTGTATATAGAATATTTGTACAAGATAAACATGCCAGGGAAAGCCATGCTTTCTGTGGAGTCTTAAAGCAGTTAACGCTGATGTGCTGCTTCTAGTTGTTGTGAACCACCGATCCACATCTTTGAAAAGGTCACACTTACCACAGTCCCTTGACTCCTGCGCTCCTCCTCTGCTGGGCAAGGTTATAGATCTCCTGCAGTTGTTTCCTCTGGTCTTCGCTTAGAGGTGATGTGAGGGACTGATACCAGCCTGCATCTGAACTCTGAACACCTGCAACAGGAAATGATTCCAATTACTGGTGCTGCACTTGTGGACAATTGTTGAACATCAATTTATGTTGGTGTTTAAATAAATTAATGATATAAAATGTTCTTCTTTTTGCAAAGAAAAAAGATGCATGCAATTTTAATGACCATGTTAATTAATAAACTAGATCGCAGAATTATTATAAATTTTTAAAATGAATTTGCCAAACTATAGGATCATTTCAAATTAATTAAGAAAAAAAAAAGATTATTAAAAATTGTGGAAAATGTGATGAAATGATGACCAGGAAAAAATTAAAAAATAAAAATATTATCCCCCAGTTAGATAAATAAATAATTAAACAAATATTGATTCTTAAAATCAATACTGATATTGAGCAAAGGGGAAAAAAATTACAGTGAACTTATTTGACATTTGGGGAGTTGACGTGCCCTGCAGTGTGAAATGCAATACACAATTTTTAATTATTAATTAAATATTTATTATCAATGCAATTTTATATGACCAATTTAATTCCAAAAATACAACGTTAAACAATTTACTACACTACATGACTGCTTCAAATGAACTAGTGCAGACCAAAAAAATTCTTGATGTTGTCTAAAACAAGTGTATGGACATATTATGCATGGACTACCCATTTATTTAATATTCATCGATATGAAGCCAGATTTTGGACAAACGATATGTGGGTGGGGCTGTTCTATGCAAATATGGCATAGTGTGACATATGTAATTAATGTATTATGTAAATGTACATGTGTGGTATATTATGGAGTAAAAAAATGTGCATACGGAGCAGGGAGGCAGTGAAGAACTGATGTTCATCCTCTCCGTTGTCATAGTCCAGTGGTGTACTGTACTCCTCTAATGGGGTCCCCTCCAGACCTTCATCATCCCAGCATTCATCATCGTCCTCATCATCTTCATCTTCATTGTCATTCCCAGTGGAAGTGCCCGACGACTGCAGGGCCACCCCTTTCTGTCCGACCTCATCCTCATCGCTAGGAATCTCCTCTGGAAAACAGACATGATGAATTTCCAAACTCAGAGTAGTACACTACAGAGTAGTGAAGAGGAGGGGCTTGGTGATGTAGTCTGGATCTTGTTGAAGTAAAGGTCACTTCTAAAAATAGACATTTCCAGTGTTTGAATCTCACACTACCGGTCCCAACAGAATGAAGCGAAAAAAGCCTTTGGAGAAACATTTTGGAATTTATATATTTTTGGTTTACAATGAAACAATAGCTACATACAAATTTGCATATTTTTCGTAGTATAAAGTACACCAAATTACGATTATTAGTGTGTCACAAACCAAAGTAAACACTGGAAGAAACAATGGTGGTAAAAGAAGATAATTCAAAGAATGTTGGTAACCAAACAATTGCAGGTAGCCATCGACTTCCATAGTACTTTTTTTTCCTCCGTACTGTATAAGCCAATGGCTACCGTCAACTGCAAAAATGATGAGTGAATGATGACGAACCTTTCATTTGAAAAATTCTGTCATTTTTATTTGAATTAAAATGTTGTCATTATTTCTTCATCCTCAAGTTATTCCAAAAATGCTGAACAAAAGAAGATATTTTGAAGAATGTGGGCAACCATTGAATTCCATAGTGTTTATTTTTCTCTATACTATGGAAGTCAATGGGGACCAGAAACTGCTTGGTTACCAACATTTTTCAAAACATCTTTTGTGTACAGCAGAATAAAGATATTCATACAGGTTTGGAACAACTTGAGAATGAGTAAATGATGACAAAAGTTTCATTTTTGGGTAAACTATCCCTTTAAGGCTCGTTTTCAGAGAATCTCTCTTAAATAAAACTAATTTAGGCATAAACCTCTCACTAAATTTGGTAAGATTTATACTTAAAGGGTTAGTTCACCCAAAAATGAAAATTAGGCTGCGTTTTACTCACCCCCGAGGCATCCTAGGTGTATATGACTTTCTTCTTTCAGACGAATCCAGTCGGAGTTATATTAAAAATTGTCTTTGATCTTTCAACCTGTTTAATGCCACTCAGCGCGTGTTGCATTGCTTCAGTCCAAAAGAACTTAAATAAAAATCGCCCATCCATAAAAAAGAGTGTTTCACATGGCTCTGGGGGGTGAACAAAGGCCTTCTGTAGCGAATCGATGCGTTTTTTGCAATACTGCATAGTTGCCTCTTCAAAACAAACTAAGCCTAAACATTGAGAGCATACTGGCAATCCCGCATGCAGCTGATGTCTGTTTCACAGAAACCAGCATCATAGTAGCAATAAATCCATAACTCCAACTGTATGATGTTGTCAGAATTCAGGTCAGGGGTGTAGGGTCATGAAGATCTATTTAATTCATCTGAGTCAAGTGCTCAAAGCCCAAAGGTTCAGAATCATGTTAAACTAACATGCACAAGTCGTTCCTCCATTTCCCATGTCTCCGGGGCCCTGGTAGAGCGATACAATCAGTTCTCAGTCATCCGTAAACCCTGATGACTAAAGACCAACCTGAAGCTATATATGCCAGAAATAGTACTTCCTGTGCAGGGATTAAGTTTACCTGAGGTGAAGTGAGACAAGGACTTGATGAAACTGTGAGATTAATATAACCATATAAATTTTTTTCTCCTATTAAATTCGGATAAGACAGAGATATTACTTATTGGACCAAAAAAAAACATACACAGAATCTCTTGGATTACAATTTGCAACTAGACGGATGTACTGTTACTTCCTCTACAGTCAAAAATCTGCCATACGTACATTAACTGACAGTCACCACTGATAAGCTACCACTAAATATTGTAGAAACTTAATTTGCTGTAAAGTTGCTTTGCAATGATTTGTATCGTGAAAAGCGCTGTACAAATAAAAATAAACTTGACATACAGACCACCAAAAGCAACAACAAACACTGGACTCAATAGGTCACTACATACATAATTATATTCTATTTGCTGTGTTCTTCTGTTAAAGCAGCTATTTTATATATAATTAAGCATTTTTTGTTTCCCTAAAAGTAATTTGTTGCACTAGTCAAGGTTTTTAGTCAAGACAATTTCCACTCTCCTGTGACCCTTGTTTAATTAGAGCAATTGCTATGGTGCCTCTAAGGGTTCTATGTGTAAATGAGGTCATTTCCATATAGAAGTCTTAAAGGTACAGACAGTAAACACTCTGCAAGTGAAATGCTTAAGAATGTCTCTCAGTCACATACAATCTCACCATTCTCTTCCTCCTCTGTGCCTTGAGCTCTGGTGAGCTGCTCTGGTTTGTTGAGCACTCGGGTGGCGTAGATGTGCTTTAAACCCAGGAAGAGGAGGAGGATGGAGGGAACGATCTGGCCTGCAACTTCCTCCAGGACCGCAGGGCGGCTGGGCAGCTCCATCAAAACACTCAGCCCAATGATGCACATCTTACGATCATGTAGTCTGTGGTAAACAACAATAAACAACAACAAGCAATCATATAATTATAAAATTAAATATTTAGTTTGATCAAATATAATTTGATAAATATAGTTCATTTAAAGGGAATACTATATAGCTATATATCCAGTAGTTATATAATTCTATTTTCTCAAATTCAAAATTCAAATTCAGTTTACTACCACAATTCAAATTCCGGAATTTAACAGATATTTAAAACCATTCCAAAGTTAGTTTTAAACAGTGTACATCCCTGTCAGGAACAGCTGCCATATCAGCATAAATACAGATAAATGTGTTTAATCTAAATCAATCTCCGTTAATAAAGTGCATGTGACCTTCTGAACCAAACTTAAGGCATTTCCTGTGCAAACAGCCTTACCCTAAGAAGAGCTCTGTGTCGTTCATCCACTGGTTGATGAACTGCGCTGTGATTGGCTCTGGGCTGTGTGGGAAGCGGATGTTCTCCAGTGTGTGTATCAGTAGGGTGGGGTTGTAGTACAGAGCTGCGATTACCACCTGTAGACACATGGTGCGGAGCTCGCTGGACTTCACACCTCGTGTTAACCGCTCCAACACGGCCTCCACAAACAAAGGGATACACTAACAAACACACAAAGGCACCAGATTTGATGTTACAATAATGTGCACATTTGATATTGCTCATTAAACCAGCAAAACACAACATTAATCAATTAGCTGTCACTTTTAAAGCACACTGATCACGGCTATTATAGTTTCTTTAAACTAAAACCATTTAAAACATATTTGGTTATTGAAATAAAACTGGAAAAAAAAACATACACATATATAAAATAGTTAAAGCACTAAAATGACTAACTATAAATAAAAAATAAAAAAAAACTGAACAAGAACTGAAACATATATTACAATTAAATAAAAATAATATAATTTATTATTACCTTTAAAAAAACTAGCACAAACTAATCAAAGCACTACTAAAAATTACAAAAATAAAACAAATTTATATGAAAAACTTAATCTAATCTAAACTAAAAATTTGAAATATTGCCTTGGCAACAAACTGAAATAAATTTAATTTGAACTACTACAATTACTAACTATGAATAAATAAATGAATAAATGAATCAATAAGTAATCTAAACTGAACTGACCTAAAACTAAAAAAAAAAATGAAATAAGAAACGAGTATTTTTGATTTACTTTTTTAAAACGACACAAAAATTAATAAAACAATTAAAAAATAACAAAATTACAAAAATTACAAATTACAAACAAAACAGTGTACAGAAGATAACCGTATCTCTTCTGTTTTCACTCCCATTGGTAGTTGGGGCATCATATCACTGTATCTATCACTGTGAATGAGCCTTAAGAATCTTAATGGGGATGTCTTTAAAATTATTTAACGTAATTTATGAGACGTCACTGAAACATTTCATATTAATGCAAAAATCTATAAAAAATTATCTTGAAATAGAAAGTAGTGTCTCACACACACACCTGCCATACCTATGATGGGTTTCTGGAGGACAAGACCGATCACCTGCAGGCATATTCCCTCCAGCTGTTGACTGATCTAAGATTGATAGAAATAGAGAAAGGGGAAATATATCAACCTCACTTCTGTTTTCAGAAACATCACAACATGTTCAAACAAATTTTGATGCAATTTAAAAAGACCTTTCACCCAAACATGGTAATTTTCATCAGGCCAATTTGCGAACAAATCATTCAGACCAGTTTTGTGAATTGGATAAACTTATTCATTTAAAAGACAGGAGTCAAAAGAACAATTTGTTCATGAATCTGACATTTCAGTCCATTCCTTGTACAAAGTTAGTGCATGACTTAAAAAACAACAACTTGGAATTAATCCAAGTGTATGAAAAAATGCAGTTCATTCACTTTCATTATACGGAAACAAGCAGCCAGGATATTTGTTTCATATAAATATTATATTTGTATGCAAGAGTGTATAATAATTTTTGCATAATTCTGAAATATGTGCAACAATTTTATTTGTATTTTTCCACCAAAAATGAATCCAATGCAGAACTGACTTTTTTTTGGAATACTTAACAAAGGTACTCAGCCTCAAAAACAACAAAAAAAATAAAATAATAAAAAAATAAAATAAAATATTTTTGCAAGCTGATATACCAGTAATGAACATTATAATTTAAAAGTTTGGGGTCAATAAGATTTTTAAATTATTTTTGAAAGAAGTCTCTTATGCTCATGAAGGCTGCATTTATTTGACCAAAAATACAGTAAAAACAGTAATACTGTTAAATATTATTACAATTTAAAATAACTGTTTTCTAGTTGAATACATTTTAAAATGTAATTTATTTCTGTAATGGCAAAACTGAATTTTCAGCAGTCATTACTGCAGTCTTCAGTCTCACATGATCTTCAGAAATCATTCTAATAACAGCATTTATTTGAAACAGTAGCATTTTAAATGTTATAACTGTCTTTGCTGTCACTTTTGACTAATTATATATATCGATCAGTCCATGCTGAATAAAAGTATTCATTTATTTCCCAAATATATCGGAAAAAAACAGTAGTGTTTTCTTCTCATGCTAAAAATCCAAACCTCTTTCCGGTCCCCCATGACTGTGAGGATAGTGTCTATGGTGCTGAGGATACCGAGAGCCATCACGGTCTTATCTTCACTTTCCTCGTATTCTTCACTCTGGAGAATCTTGTTGAAGATCTCCGCCTGTGCACAACAACCTCTTTTAGCATGAAACCGTACACTTACTTAACGATAAACTGAGAAGACGAGTGCAGTACCAGGTTCTGTGTCATATCCACTGCAATGACGGCCACTTCCTCGCTGTATTCACAGATCATCTTCTGAATTACACTGGTGAGGTCATCGTTCTCGGTTTCTTTGATGATGTGCAGCAGCTCCTGCATCACAAGCTTGATGAAGGGTCGGATGTAGACCTTAGCTGCACTCATACAATACACAAAAGGCGGAAAGAGGGAAGAATTATGCAAGTACTGGACAGGCAGACAGCAGACTTTGATTTAAATAGGTTAATCCAATTGTTTCTTAAACCAATTACAGAGAGTAAACTAATTTAGTCAAATTAATTTGCTGCATATTAAGTGCATTAGTGTTCTGCATTTTGTTCTCAAATGAAAGCAGACACATTTATTTTCATTATGTTTGTGTCTTGATAAAGCCTACATACTTTTATTTTATTTAAGCTTCTTATTCGGTCTGTTAATCTATCAGTAACACTGTTCATCTGTCCGGAAACCACCCTAGCAACTGCATATAAATGCCCTAGCAATCCAGTAAAAACGCTTTGCAACTACCTTGTAAGGCTCAAGCAGAAGCTACAGTAGCAACATAAAAGCAACTAGCCAGAACACACCAGCAACAACTGAGAATGAACCTATGCAACACCCTACCTACCAACTATTTATTGTCTATGATAATATCGTAATTGTTGTTTTAACGATGTGCGAGCTGATTATTAGAGTCCAAAAGCATTCACTGTGTGATGAAACCAATTACAATATAATTGGAATGCCCTTATAATTCAAGTTATTAAAGCCAAAAATATCCCTGTATAGGTTTTTTTTTTTTATAGTTATAAGATATGATATAGTTGAGTAATATCACACAATCAAGAGTGCCGTTTTGCTGAATCAGCAAGTGTGAATGATCACAAATGCTGTACTGATTTTATACAACAGTTCAACAAACAAGTTAAAGGGGATAGAGATAGTCATTTCTGACCTGCATGTCATTCCAAACCCATAAGACCTTCGTTCTTCTTCGGAACACAAATTAAGATATTTTTGATGAAATCTGAGAGCTTTCTGACCCTCCATAGACAGCAAGGATCTTACCATTAATCTGAAGTCAATGAATCACTTATTAAGACAGGCACTTGCTGCCACCTACTGGCGATTTTAGTGTCATGTTTATTTATCCATGGCAGGCCTCTTTATTAAAGGGGTCATATGATGCGATTTCAAGTTTTCCTTTCTCTTTGGAGTGTTACAAGCTGTTCGTGAATAGATAAGATCCCTAAAGTTGCAAAGACTAAAGTCTCAAACCCAAAGAGATATTCTTTATAAAAGTTTAGACTGGTCCACGCCCTCCTAAAACGCCTCGTTCAAACACGCCCCCACATGTCTACGTCACTGTGTGGGAAGATTTGCATAACGCCGCCCAAATGTTCACGCAAAGAAAGAAGGCGTAACTTTA